GAAGACAATATGAAAAGGGGCAGAAGGCGTTTGGTAGACAAAGACCATCCTGCTTTTATCATTCACAGGTACACCACTGTGGTTAGTACAGGGAGATGAGGCTCAGAACTAGCACAGAGCCAGTCACAAAAACCTCCAGCCCCACTTCTGACCCAGGGCTCCTCTTCTGCTGACTCACACCCTGGCCCCCAACTCCCCTGAAACCACATGCTCTCTGTAGTGCTGCTTTGGCTTAATCATTAACCCACCTGAGGAGCCGTGGAGCCCTCTCTGCAGCAGGGCCACCAATGCCCCTAAGTCCAGGTAAGACTGACAGCACAACACACCACCAAAAAAGGGCCACTCTGCTTTCATGTAAGTTCTGGAAACATGGTTAAATGTATTTTTAGAGTCATTCTCTTGCAATATGTTTTCCAATAGGAGTTTTTGGAAGGAAACCTAATCTATTATAAAATAAGATTTGAAAGACCAAGTTCAGTAAAGAATAAAACTAGAGAGGCACTTGGGGATAGGGCTTAGTGGTGAACATGGTGGTGCTGGGTTAACAGTTGGACTCAGTGATCTTAGATGTCTTTTCCAACATTAATGATTCTACAGCAGAGTTCAAAATAATTTGGTTTTTAAGAATTTGTATCATTCTATATACACACCTACATACAAATGCACATATTTATATACACAGCACTCAAAACTTCTTAGCTTAATTTTATTTCCTTGCTTTATGCTAATATTGTTCAGTTCAGCCTCGAAACTGCAGCTCAGACTGTACAAGTCCTCTGCCCAGGAACCGTGCCCAAGGTCTACAACACAGATGATGCTAAGACCAAAGCTGTGCACAGGAATTTGTGTCGCCCCCCCCTTCCCCCAACACACAGCACCATCATCTGAAATTGGTACTTCCAGAGAGAAATGCCAGAGTCTACTAAAGCAGATGATAATTACACAGTAGCACTTTTAAACAAAGTTTCCTTAGTTCTCAAGTGTAGGCATGTGATTCGAAAAATACAGCATACAGGTCTGAGGGGGAAGACACCCCTACAATTGCACACTTTGGAGAATCAACACCTTCCTTCAGAGTAGGTCTGGGGTGTTTTCATGTGCAGCAATCTCTTCTCTCCTTAAGCATGGGAGAGCCAGAATTTCAGGTGCACAGCATGAGCCAGGTCCTGCCCTCTGATCCATATACATACCTACCTCAAACATCAGTGGGAGCCTCATTTATATGTACATGCACATATTCATATCATTTACACAGGTAAACTGACAGCAAATCAACTGCAAGTAATGAATGTGCTCCATATAGAAAGGGAACACTCACATAAATCTTAAAACAGCTAATGAATATACTAACACCAGCTGCATGAATTCTTGTTCATCACTGCAGTAAGTTTTGCACAGAGACATTCAAACTACCAGCATGGGGAACAACATACATTAAACTTTTAATGTTCTTCCGATTGTCCAGCTACCTTTCATTCCCTGAAGAAATAATCACTTCAGATTCCAAGCACACTAGCCTGGATTTATTAGTAAAAGACAAAAAACAGAGAGAAACTTTGTCACCGTAAAATATTTGTGCTCTTTTTCTAGCCATATTTGCAAAAAAGAGTGTGATATCTACAATTTTGCCCACTTAAGACAGACTTCTGTTCCTCTCTAATGCTGATGAACTGTGCAAATGCCAGCTCCAGAAACAGCAATTATGGAAAACAGGAATCATTCCCAAATTACAAGTTTGAGATTGAAGGAAGCTTATGTTTTGTACAGAATTATCATTCCTACAGGTAAGCTTCAACAATTTCAGAAAAAGTTCATTGCTGCCCCAATTTTGTGGATGTCTTCTAGAGCAGTGTGGTTTTATTCTGGGGTGCCTTTTTGTTTGTTTGTTTGTTGGTTGGTTCTATAAAGAATTCAAGGGAAAATAATGCCCCCAGTAAGACAATTCTGAAGTAGCAGTGGGTTTGAACTTCTTGAAAATTGCTCAACTGGTTTTATTCATCCAGCTTAAAATTGTATCATTGTAGAAACTTTGAAAGCCATATTTGGCAATGTTCTTCAAGGGCAGGGAAGACACAGGATTATTGTTATTTAGTTGGAGTGGAACATTCTGTATGTATAAAACTTGTGTATATTGTAATGAGTAACTTAAGTGTGGTTGAAGAGTTTATAAGCACAAAAATCAACAAGTACAGCATTCAGCTCTTAAATACCATGTAAAAAAACTGAACAGTTTTTGGGTGAGGCAGCAGATTTTCATTGTGTTTAAAAAAAACCAAAACCAAACAAAAACCACAAAAAAATCCATCCCATGAGTAATTTAGAACCCAATTGCATTGTATGTCCTTTATCTCCTCCAAAGATTGGGAAGATTGTAAAGCCATATCTAAGAACCATGAGCTGCAGACTCGGCTCCAGAGTTCAAGGCCACAACCTCATATAAAGCCTTCAAGTCATGTATTTTTTTAAAATGATGCCTACCAGCAACCTTGGCACTGTCTACAGAGCTGCAATTGCAAAAATCCACTTAGCTCATTGCTTGTTTTGCGATCCTGCTTTAACAAGTAAGATTTTTACTCCAGGCTGATCAACTTTAACCACTCCCCTGGCAACCCTGCAGAGGTGACGGCTGGGCACTGCTGACAGGATTTAGCTGCCAACTCCCGTTTGCTGCTTCACTTCTAAAAATGGTACCTGGCATAGCATGCAAGTAAGACAGAACATTAACATCACCAGTTGCACCAAAGGGGAACGTGGTATGTCTATTGTAGCCTAATCTCCCTGCACTGGCATCATGGTTGGGCTGCCAGCATTTCTGAGAATTCCTTATCTGTAATGGGGCTGTCAGAGCCCACCACTGCAATGACCTGGGAGCCTGCACTCCTCTCCCCAACACGCCTCCCCTCATTCAGGCAGCAGAGACAGGCTTTCAGAGCAGACTGTGATTCACGTGTGAGGAATGCTTGGTAGATATCCCCACCGAGCCCACAGGCTGCGGTTACTGCCTTCATTCCCAGCAATCTGAAGATTCATGTTTCTCTCATTAAATCAGCGATGACACAGTGAAGTGCAGGTCTGGGCATGATCCAGGTTCACGATGAACATCTACAAGTATTTCACAGCATATCTATACCCACACTATTCACATGCAGACATTCTATATTGATTTGCAAGTTGAACATATTTGTATCATAGATATGTTGATTGATTTCTGCAAATACTTACACCATGCCACTAAAAATAAATCTTTAATCTCAAAGAGCAGTAATATCAAACTTTCAGCACTGTGGAAGGTGTTGATTAGCCTCCTTCTTAGCAATCTTGTAAAGCGTTACACAGGCTATATATTTTGTGTACCAAGTGATTTCCATGAGTCTTCTCACAACATATAAAAATTAATCCCTTTGCTTAAGAAGTTTGCAGAACTAGGTCTTGGCTTTGTAATGTCACACTTGAGAGAAGACTTAATATTTACAATTCACATGGGTCTTAAAACTGCTTTTTTGTGCTGCAAGTACTTCCTCAAACTGACCATAGAAATTTGGACCTGGGGTTATATGTGCATGGTTAAGGCACTTGCGGAATATTTCCTATAATTTGTTAATCATCAGACACTCTCTCATTCCTTCCCTTTCCCATCGGTTTTCATCACAAAGATGATCCATGACGTATATTCAAGGACTTTGCCAAAGAACAAAAGAGAGGAAGGAAGCACAGGTCAAAAAGGTAAATGAAAGGGGAAAAAAGGAAAGGGGAAAAACAGAGGCTGTCTGGAACACAGTGCAAATAGCTCCAATGACACTCTTCTAAACAAAACTATTAAGGACCTTTATTACCTTAGAAAACAAAAATCTTTGGGAGTTTATGAAAAATTAATAAAAAAAGAGGGTTCCATAAGTACTGAAGGTAACTGATGTCCTTCTCCCTGGTCCTTTTGAGAAGCTTGAATGAGATGATGCAAATAAGAAAGACTTTCAACACTGCCTATCCATGAAATAACCCTTCAGTGTTAATTTAAATTAGAAAGTTCTCCACAGTTTGGTGTCTAGGTACCCCTCAGAGTGCCTTTCCTCTCTGTTCTACCTCTATACAATCAAGTAGCTTCTGAAAAGTTACCCTTCTTGGGGCAACTTTTTGCCATCACTTGACAGTAAATAAGTGAGTTGCTCTTCAGACAAAGCTAGTAGAAATTTTGTGTGATAGCTAGATGAAACAACTGGCATAAACTTGAGTATTTGGTACGGTTTTGTCAGCCAGATTTATACCAATGTTCAGTGGCTGTCTATCAAAATATGTATTGCATTCTCTCTGAAGAGAAGATAATTTCCTGTCTTTTCCACAACCAAGCAGACTGTCCCCTTCAGTAGTTACCACATAGCAATTATCCACATTCTCCTTGAGAAAAAGCACTTACAGGAAAATATTTAAGTCCATAAATAGCGCAGGATTTTCTTTTGCTGTTGTTTGTCTATAGAGCCAATGCTAGGTGACAACGACAGATCCCCAGACCTCCAAGCAGTACTTTCAGAGAACAGTTTAGGAACTGCTGCTGGAACACATTTGGTCTCTCTACAGCATGCACTGAGCAGCAGACTGTGGAGCTTGCTGAATGTGCTCTGGTTTGTACCTTGCAAAACCCTACTTAAGAAAGCAAGTAGTTCTCGTGAGCCTGGAATGAGTGCAGCCTATTTCCTTCATTAGTATGCATCTTATGCCTGACTGATGCTTGATGTCTAAAAAGGGTAGAAACCTCTTCTGCCACGATTGAGACAGACTGTAAAGCAGGCTGCTTTCAGCCTCACTCTTACATATCATGTGTTTCCGCAAAACTTGCAGAAGAAAAATATCTAAAATTTGTCCAAATCAGCTGATAACAGTTTCAATATATGAAAGAGAGGGTTACATGAATGCAAACACTGCATGTGATGTAGAAACCTTGCTTCTACAGAAAAACAAGTTTGAAAGCTTCCAAGCTATGAAATCCAAAACTGATCTCCACTTACCTTAGTGTTCATACAAGATCTTCCACGTTTATACTCTTTGTGACTTGCTCTTTTATCAAGCTTGTTCCACAAAGCTTTGGCCTTCCATGTGGTCACTCTTGATTTTAGTTTGGTGTAAAAGTTTCTATTGTCCAAAGGATCTAATTCAAGTTGGCGAGTGAGAATATTAAAGGCCTGAATGGTGCCTTTGCATGTTGTTGCTTGTACGAAGTTCTCAAATATCTGGCCAGCTTGACTGTATTTTTCATCATCGGTTTCCCCCATGTTCTGAGAGAAGAGTTTGAAAAGGATTAAGCTGGAGCTCTCGTGCCGGGGTACGGGTGATCAACAATATTGAGTACTTCCAAGCATGTTATTCCTAGAAAAGACAAACGCAGGTCACATTAAAGTATGTTCTGCATAACAAAACTAACCCACATCCAGTATGAACATAAAAAGCCAACATATGGTGACTGGACAACCAGGTACAAACAGGCACACAAGTGTCACAAACAAGCTTAACATACCTTTGCTGTCATGACATTTACTTACTAAGACTTTTCTAAAAACCCTGCAAACTCAAGCCTGCTACTTCAAGAAGAACCAGCTTCACTGATAGCCTGAGGAATTCTTTAATTTTTCGTTCAGTCCTAGGTAACTGATGAAGAAAACCCAAGTGTCCAGATGCTTTTCCCAAGCAGTGTTTACATCACAGCAAGTACATATCTGGAAACGTTTTAATCTCAAAAATTCATGGAAACCTGAAGCCAAAAGTCAACATTATTTAAGTGATTTTTTTTATCTTGTTGCACAAGTTAAGGCCAAGAGTATAGCTTAGCCAGAGCAATTTAAAATTGACACAACCATGAGCAAACGCACCAAACAGGCTAAGCAGAAACATATCACAAGTTACACCATAACTGAAGAAACAGAAAACGAGTAACCGCAGAGAGCCCCCCTTTTCCCAACTCTCTTGCCAAAATGAGAAAGGGTATGGTGCTCTAGTGCATAGAAAGGAATTTTATCTCCACGTCTCCACATGTTAAATGCTGAAGTTATGCGTTTGGAGTCTTACCTTGTCATGTGCTGGTGATATAAAGTAATGATGTTTGGCCCGCTAAGCCCCACTGGCTTTTCCTAGTAACATGATCACTGTCAAACTGTGCCTGATATTCCAGATAAATACTCTTACATTGTGCAAGAGCAATGCTATTCTAAATTAACATAAGTTTCAAAGAACTGAAATACTTTCATTAAAATATTTATCCTTCTTTAACCTTCTTCTCAATCTCTAATGGGGAGCATCTTAGAGTCAGCCAAGGTCCACAGAAAACATCCAAGCGGCTTTCACATTTTCCAAGAAAATTGTTACAGGTTATGTATAAACTTGTCCTCAAAAGAGGGTTTACCTGGACTCAAGTCCAGAAATTTAAGTCATGTACTCTTTTTCTCGCTATTGAAGAATTATCTACCAGTCCAAGAAACCAAAAACTAAATCAATGCTTGCCTAACTTCCCACATAATTAGTTATTTTACTTGGAACATCATCTGTTGGCTGATAGTTTTAGAATAAATTGTTAGAAATGCCTTTGAAGTTACGCTTTTTAATTTAACACTGTTCACAAACTATTCATTCTCTGCTTGCATTTCCTTCAAAGAAGAAAAGAGGAAACATAACCAGTGTATTTGAGACCTACCATGTCTGTCTTACCATCCTCTAATACAGAAAAATATTATGCAACTTATTAGAGATCCCATGGGGAGATATGAGGAAGCAGTTGGAATACTCACATTCCCTGGCTGTGCTCAAAATAAATAACCTTTGTGTGCACATCATCAGTCTGTTGTTGGTTTGTGGGTAAAATAAATTGGCAATGTTGAGAGTTTGTACATTTTCTTAGACCAAATGTCATGCTCAAATATTTGGTGCCAAGAATAAGTCAGAAAATTTTTGTGTTCCCCTCTGAATACTTCATTTATAGTATGCTCCATGCCCTTTTCTGAACAGCCTTGTGGCTTTGTGAGGTAAAAGCACAAACATTTTATGTGCCCTGACTTTCAGAAGGTCTAATTTTTCAAGAAACTGAGTGCCGTGAACTCCCAATGACTCAAAAGGAGTTCAGGACATCCTGCACCTTTTCAGGTTCAAGTCCTCAGTGATTAATGAGAAAACCCCTCTAACAACTACACATCAGCAGGAGGAGCCCAGCCACCTTAGCCCCTGCAGAGCGGCTGTGAGGGGGGCCCAGCACGACCCTCACCAGTCCTGGCTCTGGAAATGCAGAGCTGCATGAGTGGTTTAGGTCAGTCCAAAAAGGGCCAGTAGATCCAAAAGTTCCACAGGGAAAGGGAAAGGTGGGGAATAACCACAGAAGACGATGTAAGATGCTACAATGAGGTTTAAACAGCTTGATAAACACGTGCCTCAGGATTTGAGACCCGTTTTAAAAAAAAAAAAAAGAATTAAAATCAAGGCTAAACATTTACTTTACTCAACTTCTACACCTGCCTGAGGTAATTTTGTAACAGCAACATCAAAGTATTTTCCTTTTCCCTCAAAATAATTATAAATAGACTCTTGGGAAGTGGGGAAGCGTCAATGAAATGTTCCACTTCAGACATGTCAGCTAAGGGAGTGGCATGATTAAATTAGATTTCCTTCATTGCTATAAGCTTATATTGGTACTGTCTCAGTGCCACCAAAGACTTTGACCAACACGAGCTATAAAACAGTGCTTCCTCCCCACTGTTTTATTAGCTCATCAGAAGACTATTGTTACATGTTCATTCAACACAAGTATCTTTAGAAGTTAACTCTTGACACAATTGATAAGTGAGTCTGATCACAAGCTCTTGAATTCAGTATCTTTTCTGCTCACAGAGAGTACAGTTTTACAGCTTCAGCTGTTTCCGTCCTGCCAGGAAGTGGGGGCAGAATAAAGTTAAGGGAGGAGAGCCATATCTGAACCAACCACAAAAGAAAAACAGCATGTGCCAGTGCTGATAACAGCAAGGACAAGGCAGAAGATCAGCAGGACCCACTGCAGGCAATGGGAAGGGGACAAAAACATTTTTAGCAAGGAATGGAAGTAGGTGCTGCGCACACACACACACACACACACACACAGATACAAGCAGCAGGCCTGGGCTTCCTCTGCCTTTCCACTGGAAAGGACAGGCAGGACACCTTCTCCAGCCTTAAAGCTTCCCTCCTCCAGCACCGCAAAGCCAAGACTGGGGCTACATTTTCTGGGCACAAAATCTTCTCCCCATGAACTTCCAAAACACTCCCATCTTGTCCATACTGAAAAGCTGTGGAGTGGCATCTCAGTTGAGACATTTGCTCAGTAGTGAAGCATTTCTCCTCACTGTGTCAGAGGTCATATTCTCCAAAAAAGTCTCATTTTGTGGTCAAAAAGCCAGGATGAGACAGGAGACTCTGGTTACTAGGGTTTCTTGATTGCTGGAAACACCACTTATTTTCTCTTTTTTCTTCTCTCTCCTTTTTTTTTTTTTTTTTTTGGCACAAACACTGTGTTGACAGATGACAGAGAGGAAGATGGTGCTCTAAGTATATGCAGCTGATGGAAAAGTATGCATTTTTTGTAGCGATGGATTTGCCCTATACGGAATGGAGGAAGTCCTGCCAGAGATGGACTGGTGAAGGAAAAGAAGGAAACAGCTCAAATGTTATAGAAACAGAAGTTTTTAATGTTGTTTAAACAGATCTTAAGATGGCTTTTCTGTATTTTGCAAAGTCACCATTTACCTGATTGGGTTTTTCTGTAGTACCTTGACCTTGTAATTGGTCCCTTTCCAATCCCCCTGAAAGCCATATAAACCCCCATCCCCAATAAACTTCCTCTTTCGTCCGTCCCTCAGCTGTGGTCTGTGTGTCCTTACGGGCTCGTAGAGCCACGTGCTCGAGGGGCAGTTTGGGAGAGCATTACACCTCTAGAGAATGGTTTAACACCCAAGACCTGAAGGTGCCCCCCTCCCAATCAGCCGTCGTAATTTTTTTCTGAGGAGCCACTGATATTTCACTGCAGTACTATACATAATTCACCAGAAACAATGCAATAAGGACAAGAAGTTGAACAGAGTCATGCTTAACTGTAATGAAAGTTTCCTGTTCTATAACTGTCTCAAAGACTTAAGAGGCAATGCATAAACTGCTTACCTGTAGTAGAAAAAAAATAACAATGTTTGGCAAAGTGCTTGAGTTCTTATTATCATTTATCCTTGTTCTTCTTTCATCCTATTCACTCTAGGGATGAAATACAGATCCAAAAGTCTCATCAAGGTGAGTACTCATGCTGAAGCTGCAAACTATGCTTTTATAGAGTGACTACTGAACTTCCTCTGGAAACAAAGTCCAAAAATATAATGAAGCGTATTTGCAACTTTACTGAAGTGCTACAGAGCCCAATAAAAACTTGGGCCAGGGAAAGGAAAAGAATGAGAGAACAGGAAATAGTCTGGACAAACAGTTCTTTTAAGTCAGAACTGAAGCATCCGTGGGTTAGATTTACAGCTAACAAGAATTGCCATTTTAGGTCCCACACATGAGGTATTAAGCACACAGAAGAATCTGGCTTTCCACGTAGCTTCCCAGGGGAATACAGGAGTCTCTGGAGGGTTCCTAGGCACTAAGTGCAAACACTGGGAAGAAGAAGGATTCCATTTGATGGACCCTTCTACGGTCAGGAGTTATCCCTACCTCCTTTCTGCCTCCAGCTGGGGCAAACAGGAAAGTCACATAAGGAAAGCTGAGAAGTGCTGTTCGTGCCTGGTGGCTGCCCATGAAGAAAGTGAAGATCTTATTACAGCTAAAAGGAAAGTGGTGCAAAAGGGACAGAGAGGAAGTAGAAATTAAAGCAGTGCTGTGTGTACAGGTGTAGACACAGGAAAGCAAAATGCCTCCAGTCTTGGCTGACATGTCCTGTCAGTGAAAAAAATTCTGTTACTGCAGATGATTTTGAGAATACTGAAAAAGTAGCTCCAGTGTCAGGGCAATCCCACTAAGTATCTCTAGTTAAATGGATGTATAGAGCTGGTTCATGTCTGCACATGAAGTCTTTCAGCAGCAAGCTGAGCAAGCAATAAAGTTGACATACATGAGTCATTAAATGAAAATAAATTTGACAGCAGTACCATGCAAGTCACTTGTCAGCAGGGTCTTGAGGTAGAATACATAAAAAATAAAAACCTTTTCTGGCTTAGCTGTCCCACTGGAGAGAGAACAACGCTAATTTAATTCAAACTTGTAGCACTTAAGTCCTTCCTTAGTCCCGTAATGCTCTGCTTCTAATATTTGAGAACATGTTCCTCAGAGAGACCGGAAAAGAATTAAATTCCTCACATTTCAATACCACTAAT